AATGTCCATCTAACCTTAAAATTCAGTTATTTATGTACAGAAGATTCTCTTCCGTCGCAATACGTCTGCACAATACAAACCCAGAACAATGCACATGTAAATATCGTTGTTCTTTCTCTGCAAATAGTTGTATTATTTTTCTCTATTCTTTTTATTTTTCTAATATAACTTGCATTGTCTATTCCATATGTATATATTTATTTATGTCAACTCGATGTCTGTCAGCGTGTAGCACCTGATCACCAAAGCAAATTCCTCGTATGTGTAAAACACTACTTGGCAATAAAGCTCTTTCTGATTCTGATTCTGACTAAGATATATGTTTGTACTCCCAACAAATCTGAATTTGTGAAATCAGGACTTAAATATCTGTGTGATAACATTTAGACCAAGTTTCAAAAGCTTTCCCGCTCTGCCGCACCGCTCTTGATGAAATGCTTACTGAGCATCTTTCATAAGCCTCTGCCAAACAACTGAAGTAACAACTGTGATGTGAACTCGTCACCATTTTGGGACTCAAAAGCTCTTTGACTGAACTTGAGCAGCAAATAAGCCTCTTCCTCTGGATGATATGTTATTGCCGTGTCCGTGCCATCATTGCAGCTGATGAAGTCCACAAATCATGTTTGCAACTCAAAACTGATGCTGTTAGAAAAGCAAGGACAAATTCAATTTCCAGTTCACCGACATGCAGTGGAATAGCTCATTACATAGTAATATTATAGTCTAAATCAATTCCTCAATCATTCCTCGAAGAAGTGCTTTGAACCTGCACAAATGGATGTTTTTATATCCTGATGAAACCACAGAGAATTGAAACCTGACTCAGCTCTATAGAGCATTTAATTGTCTTTGAGTTCATTGTTTTATCGTCCCCCAAATAATATGTTCGACTTAAGAAAGTTAATGTTGCTTTAATATTTATTTAGTCAGGACAGAATGATGTTGTTGTAAATCTGAGTATTAATCTGATACCAAGTTACAGGAGAGGGTGCATATATAGAGTCTGACATTTGTTCTAAGCTTAATAATTAAAAGCTTAAAAAAAGTTTAAAATCATGATTACTCATTTATATTGACACTATCTTTTTTTTTTTAACTCTGGACAGCTTTTATCATCCATATAATTCGTTGCTGATAAATTTTGATTTTCATTTCAGATCTTTTGACACGAAGTTGCTGCACCTGTTAAAGACACTTTGTACCTGAGTTGTTACACAGACAACATGCGAAGCTGCTTCCAGAGAGTCTGTTAAAATATAAGTGGGGGTAGGGACTTTAATACTAACCCTTGGATATGTAATTAATATTATGCCAGATTATTGCTCAAGTGGAGTTCCCAACCACTCAGCTTTCCTGGAAATCTCCCCTCAAGCCACAAGTTAGATTACAGGATGTCAAGGAGGCGGACCGAACAAGATCATCTCTCATTGAACACCAAGACCAGCTCTCCTTCTTGTCATGGCTCAACGCAAAACATTCCTCCTGTCCTGTCTTCATTGGCTGACCTCCTGCGTTTTTGCCTGTTTCTGTTTGTTTGATTTCAAACAGCCAATTGGGAGAAGAATTTTTTTCCAAAGTGCAGAAGATTTGATGAGTCCAAGTTAAAATATTTGTTAACCTATTCTTTATAAGGTACAGTCATCTCTTTCTATTTTGAACTATTATTTAAAAGAGCGGCTACCACGTATCTCAAACTGTTCACGTCTCATTTTGAGTCACAACTTTGCGTTTGACTCAATCCATTATTCGTCCCTGCTTTTACTGTGTGTCAGGTGTGACGCACATTTGTATGACCATGTTCTAATTCCCTAACGAGATTGGCCATCCCCGGATATCCCATTAGACCCTGATTAACCGAGCTCAGCTCATGAGCTCTGACAAACCAATTCACCCCTGTCAACCTCCGCCCCAGACTATCCCCTCTCCTGCATGCTGACAAAAAACATTTAATGCAATGCCAGGAGTCAGAGCACAATGTCACCTCTCTGTTGTCATAGGACACATGGTGACGTACCTGTATCTTGAGAACCAAACCAGAAATGACTCTGATTTGTGAATAAGAGGTTTGAAAATAATTTTATGTGCCCAGTTTGCAGATTTCCTTGCACCTGAAACTTCTAGCATAAAACTACAGCATATTCTTCATATTTAACTATGTGCATGGCTGATGTGTCCGTTTCCATTTGTCAGTGCCTAATTTTTGTGCAACAGATATAATTTCATTGCCAATCCAAAATCTCTTTTCTCCTCTCTCTCATATTCTCACATTTCATCTCCATCTGTTCCCTTTCATTTCTTCACCTGCTCTTGTCTTTTGACCTCATAACCTGATTTTCTCCCTCCAATCGGTTTACCTGCCTGCTCTCGCCATGCTCCCTCTCCCGGTCTCTCTCTCTCTCCCTCTCCTTTCCTCTCTATTTCCATCTTTGAGCTTTATCCCTTCATCCCTTATCTCCTTCATCCCTTCCAATCCTCATCTGTTCTTCACTGTGGAGGAAGGGAGAGAGAAAGAGAGAGTTTCTCACAAGTAAGCTGCTTGCACTCTGCCGAGGGAGAGCATCAGCGGAGCCAGCGAGCAGGTTGTGCACCCTGGGATTGTGGAATCTAAAAAAGCTCAGGGGAACTCAGAGCCGGAGGTGTCTGAGACCAATAGCTGCACAGGTGCAGAAAAGGAGAAGGGACCGCGTTGTGTGTGGGAAAGGTGAGTTTTTATTTTTCCTGCTTCTCTAGTTGCACTCTCTTCAAGTGACTCCTCTGCGGTTGGAAAACATTTGGAGCTGCGGCAAAATGCATTGAAGCTGCATCATCTTACTTTGGGAGATATTAAAGAAAGGAAGTGGATCTTTACTTTTGTGAGATTTGAAAAACAGGAAGTGGACTTTGCTTCAATGTGCAACATAAGAAATTGATGGGGAATTTGTATACTATTAAGGATTTTCTGCACCTGCAAACCATGAAATGTAGCTGCAGCTGCCGTTAGTGCTTTTGCAGTGATTTTATGATTTTCTACTGCGAAACTACTGCACTCAACAGGCTCTTTGAATATTTTTAAAGGGATCTTAAAGCATTGATTTCTTGCGAGTAATAGAATAATGTATCAGTCCCATGTAAGATTGCATCTAGTGTAATGATTCCTTAAACCCTTTGAAGGTGATCTTTGGATTGTAGGGAAGCTGCTAAAGAGGATTGGGGCTCAGGTGTGGCAGCAGTAAGCTGAAGCCTGATCTTGCTCACAAGGCCAAACCTCACGTAGCTCACTTTGTATGCAGCATATTTGGTACTTCTAGAGTTGCTATCTCAAGGTTTTGCCTCTTCCTGGGACACATATTTAAAAATTTTCACTAGAGAGTAGATACATTTATGTTTTGGAGCACAAATGCAACATCATTTCTGCCAATTGAGAGAACAGGTCAGTAGATGCTGATATTTGCCTAGAACAGACCCCCTATATCTCCCCCCATCTATATCACCCTCCCTCACTCTTTCTCTGTTCCTGAGGTAAAGAGCAGTCAGTAATCGGATGACAGGAGATTTGACCAGTAAAGCTTCCCTTAAGATCTCCTGTCTGGGATTTACAGCCCTGTAGCAACCCCACCGCCACCACCGCCACCATTGCCCCTATACCCTCCACACTCCACCCTGCATCCTGTCACAGGTTAGGGCTGCTGCGCGTGCTGCACGATCTCTGATCTTATTGCGCAAGACTTATATGTGGAGCTGCAACTTTCCATTTTGTACGATTCTTTTGATCAATTTGTGCATTAACCAGTGAAGTATTCTGTCTATGAAAACTAGTGGAAAATGCCCATCACAATTTGCCACGGTGACATTGGTGAATTTCTTGTTTTGTACACAATTTCATTTACATTTTATCAACCATGCATTGCCTACATTCCATCAGTTTTATTTTTGGAATTGTATTCATTTTCAATTATATTTTTGGAGGTGCAGTGTTTTAGTTTACTTGACAATGAGCAGAGTCACGGTAGCTGGCGTGAAATTAGTCAGACGTCGGTATCCTATTACAAAGTATTATGTGCACAGTGAATCACTGCACACAGGGCTTTTGGGACATGAAAATGATTTTAAGTAAAAGAACCAGTCAGTTAGAAAAGAGGACATTTAATACCAGGATAATAATGTCCCACTAAATTAGATGTTAGAAATACATCACTGTGATATTGGTGATTGAAAATGTTAAGCTTATCTTATTATTATAATAATCTTATTATCATTATTTAAAGCAAAGTCTAAATTAACATTTAGCTCTCTTCTGCACTTCCTAACTTATTCATACCTCTCTCCCTTCCTTCTCCCTCCTTTAGCGATTTCCCTCCTTCAGAAAATGTGTTCATTCATTCTCATTCTCAATCTTTCCTTTCAGTCTTACTTCTGCATTCTTTCGTTCCAACCATGTACAGTATTTTTCCCTCTACATGTCTTTATTCTTCCTCATCTGTCCCTTCCTTCAGACTCTGTACATCATGTCAGAGCTGACATTGTTACAACTTTAGGTTAGTGAGGGATTAAACCTGTCAGGTATGTGTCTAATCTTCGCTCTAGACGTGATGGTGTAACATAACAGCACAGTGTTCCAGATCAAGGTTTCAGGGTCACTGAGAAAATGGACAGCCTGGTCAGTAGATCTTTGTCTAACTGTAATGTACTATATAACACAAGGGTTTTGACAGTAATGGTTTTACATCAAACTGGAGACACATTATTCACTAAAGGGAGTTAATAGCTTCAGGAGTTGTTGTGCTGACTTGTCGATACTCAAAATAAATAACACGGTGCAAGAAAAAAGACAGATGTTTTCACAATATGTCAAATTTGCTGTATATGTATAAATATATAATGTGTATGCAAGTAACTTCAATCCATCACTGTTCACCAAGAGCAAGAGTGAACTAATAATTTTGTCTTTTTTTTCTTCTTTCCTTCCCTGTTTTCACAGTGACAGTTTCTTTTTCCGTCAGTAACATCCCCTAGCAAACGTCGCCATGGCAGCTGAGAAAGCTGAAATGGACAAACTGAAAAAGGAGTGCGATGGCCTCCGTGCACAGATTGAGGTGAGCACCTCCTGCAGGTGACGCATACAGCATTTCCTGTTTAAGGTTTCTAAAGTCAGTGGAAGCATCATGAGGTCCGATCACAACCAAAAACAGCACTGTTTTCACCTTTGTAAGAATGTATTTCAATATGAAAGGGATTAGTTAGCTTAAGAAGTAGGAGAATTTGTATGATTTTTTTCATACTGTAAAGAAATAGTACATTTTTATGTTTACTTGAAAAATCCAATAAGCAAAATTGGAGATGCATGTTTTTTCTACCACTTGTACGACTAGGCTGTAGCTACGGTTACTGACCTTCACTACTCAGTACTGTAACTGTGCCCTATTACTAACATAGAAATACTATTACTAGTACTAATACTGCTGCTATCACTTTCACTAGTAGTACCACTTTTCCTCATGCCTTTAAATAACTTACAACCACACAGGTGAACATGAAAACAAGCCTGTGTAACATATAATAATTCACTCAACTTGAAACTGCAGGTTAGAAGGAAATTACCAATCCAAGTGTTGTTTACCTTCCTAAGTCTTTTCTTCTTTCTCCTCACCATGTAACGTCCTGTGTGGCCACCAGGCGGCCCGCAAGGCTGTGAATGATGGCAGCATGACAGCAGCAGGAGGTAGTGCGACTCCAGTAAGCCGAGTCCAGCTGAAGCTCAGGAAGACCCTCAAGGGTCACCTGGCTAAAATCTATTCCCTGCACTGGGCAGCTGACTCCAGGTGAGGATGCATAGGTTTTGACTTGACTTGTCCTAGTAGGAAAAAGCGCAGACTTTATAAGGTTAGAAATGTTGTGACAGTGAGGCACAATACCAGGACCCTGAAATTAATTAACTATTATTTTTTAATCATTTACCTGTACTTTTCCTACTGTGACATGTCAAAGGGCTTATTACACAATATTTCTCAATGATCTCAATGGTTGAGTGCTATTCCCTCCATTCCTTAGTCTGGATAAGGCAGTTCAGGTGCCACCTAGACAGGAGTCAGTTATCCGTGTCCACGTTAGCTACCTCACAGACAGAATGACAGAAAGCACCTCTACATGCTGTAAGAGATAAAGTTAATTGCTGAGACTGAACGATGCGCACTAATACTGGATTTCAGTATCACCGGCTCTACTAAGTCTTCATTTTAAAAATATGTGGAGATTTAAGTCATCTTCAGACACAGTGACTCTGTCCTCTCTCTCACAGGCAAATGGTCAGTGCATCACAGGATGGCAAGCTTCTCATCTGGGACACCTTCACAGGGAACAAGGTAAGATCACAGTACCTGTTTTATATTAAGTCTGTATTACAAAGGTCTTACACACAGAGTTTATGGTGTTGGTGCAGAGACATACTGACATCTTACTAGTGTTGCACAAGGTCTCTTGGTACGTGGCAAGAAATGTGACTTTATTGATGAATTAAATTTAATAGAGTTATCATGTTTTTGATAGTGAAAGGAGTTGAACTTAGCCTAGGTTGTGGTAGTTTAGCCTTCCTGTAGGAGCTCCTAATCCTCAAATAATTGGATTTCAGTGGTGAGTAAAGTATTCAAAGATGGTTTAACTTCTGTTTCTACCTTGTCAGGAATAAAATCATGGTGAGAACATTGACTGGTTTTAATTTTATGCCGCAAAAAGTTCATTTTTAAGGATATTGATACCGGACAGAAAATATCTGCAACCAGTGGCTACATGCAGCCATGCATGTAAACATTTGAAGGAGGTTGTTTTTCAACGAAACAAAATTTCTGCTTCCCAGTTGGTTGCTGTCCCACTAAAGTCAGCTTGGGTGATGAGTGTTGCCTTCGCCCCCTCTGGTAACCTGGTGGCCAGCGGTGGTCTGGATAACATGTGCACAGTGTACAACGTCAAGGCTGCCAGCCCCAAGACCCTCAGGGAGCTGGACGCACACACAGGTGAGGATGGCACCTGCACCATTTTGCCTCCCTAAATGGCTAAAAAATGTGCTCAGGGAAACATCAAAATGAAGTTCATGTCACAGAAAAGCATAGTAAGAAATTAAGTGATGTTGAAAAAACTATTTCTCCCACCCAGGTTACCTGTCTTGCTCCCGTTTCCTTAGTGACACTGAGATCTTGACAGCATCCGGTGACACCACCTGGTGAGTTTTTCATTGACGACTGTCTGCAGCAACATACTTGCTCTGTGAATAAGTGTTGTCCTTTGAGAATTTTTTTTAATTTATTTACATTTTTTACATTATTTGTTTTCATGATGGCATCCCCGAAGTTTTACACTCATTTGACAGACTGCTGTTCTGGTATCCGTCTACGTAGATAGGGACCATTATTTGATTCAGCCCATCAAATCTTGCATAAAGCAGTCATGTCAGTGTTCTAATATAAGCAGAGCAGACAGTCACACTCAGTGCTGCAGAATAAAATAGTACATTTTAGACATTACCCTACATTTGATTCCTGCATTTCCAGGTGTTAGTTGAGAAAATTCAGTTTTTTGTCTGAGCAGTGCTTCACCAACATGTTTTCTCTTTACATAATGTGTGCTAACGCTATGGAGCTACTTATTGGCATTCAATTGGGTCCCTCAGGAGGGCTCTGAAAAGTAACATTGAACTAATCCTGTTATTGCAGGTTAGCAACATAGGTCTTGTGTCTTAAATACTTGAAAGTCAAGGTTTTCATAGATTTAAAATTTTGGACCAGATATGACATTGTCACAACAATGAGCCCTGATCCAAAGACGTCACACTCAATCCAAACAGACCCAAAGATAATCAGACTGGATGCTTTCATTCCTTCTTTTCCTTGAACTCCTTCATCTATAACGCACTTCCTAACCTGTCCTCTCCAGCTGTCTGTGGGACCTGGAGACTGGTAAGCAGAAAATCATCTTCACCAGCCACATTGGAGACTGCATGTCTCTGGCTCTCTCCGCCGACATGAAAACCTTCATCTCTGGAGCCTGTGACTCTCTGGCCAAGCTGTGGGACCTGAGGGAAGGGACCTGCAAGCAGACCTTCTCAGGACACACCAGTGACATCAACGCCATCTCTGTGAGGAACCCACTAAGCATCACACGACACATACCAGAAATAATATAATTTTTATACCAATTACAAACTTTTGAACGGTGGTGTAATAAAAACACACCGTTCTTCATCTCTCCCCACCTCAGTATTTCCCTGGAGGAAATGCCATCATCACAGGCTCCGACGACTGCTGCCTCAAGATGTACGACCTGCGCTCCGACCAGGAGGTGATTACCTACCAGGACACCAACCTGAATGCTGGCGTCACGTCTGTGGCTCTCTCCAACTCAGGCCGCCTCATCTTTGCCGGCTATGATGACTTCAACTGCCACATTTGGGACTCACTGAAGGGAGAGAAAGTTGGTGAGTTTATATATTCAGGATTTGAAGATAACACAAGGAAAGAAGCTGAGATTATAAAATGTTTTCAAGGCTAATCATCATGAAAAACATCAATAATGAAAGTATTAAATTCTCACTCTTTATGTACCTACAATGTTTTCATTGTTTCATAAAAAGTTTAAATAACTTGCAACAGGTAGGTGGCGCTAACGCACTGTATGTTTTTTTCCCTGTCCTCTCCTTCCCTTTCAATGTTCTTTTCATTGCTTTTCACCTTTCTTTACTCTTCTCTCTTGCCCATGCTCCCTCCTCTTCTTTTCCCTTTTTTCCTTTGGTTTCTTTTCATTCTTTCCATTCCCTCACATCTGTTTCCATTTCTCTCCTCTTTGTTTTTCTGTCTGTATGTTCTTTTCCTTTCCTTTCATTCCTTTCTTTTGAATAATGTCTCCTCTGCTCTCCTCACTTCCTCCAGGTGTACTGTCCGGCCATGACAACAGGGTGAGCTGTACCGGCGTCCCAGAAGACGGTATGGGCGTCTGCACAGGATCCTGGGACAGCTTCCTCAAATTGTGGAACTGAGGTGTCCCGGCAGAGGAAAACACTGGAAGAGGGAAAGGAAGAAGGGGAGAGGAGGAGGTGGAAAGGGGGAGGAAAAGAGTGAAGATATGGAGGAGAAGAGGAGGGGGTGGGGACTAGAGACAAGTGAGGTTGGAAGATATTTGGTGCAGATGTTTGGGCACAGATCTTCCTCTCTTTCACTCTCTCTTTCTACTTCTTCCCCATTCATGAATGCAAAATATGAGAAGTTGCGAGTGAGTCACGTTGCATAAATGGCATCAGGTAAACAGTGCACGATGCATCACGCTGTATGTACAAGGGAGGTTTATTGTTGTTGAGATGAACACTAAAAAACATTAAAAAATAGCACATTATTCAAAATGATAACGAGCAGAGAAGAAGCTCTAACTGAGAATGTCAATTAAACGCATAGATTTTTGACCATAAAAAAAGAAAGAACACTTAAATATTGAAAAGAATGCTGTAGGATTACAGATTTATTTTTATTGTCTTGGACCTGTAAAAGAGCCCGGCACTTATTTAGATGAAAGTCTGATATCAATATATTTGTATTTTATAGTTTTAGGATGGAGAGTTGATGTACAGTGTGTTTTTTTTTTCTTTTTTGGGGGGGGGCTGCATAAATCCTGAGTTTATGTGTATGGTAGAGCTGCCATATTTGGTCGCCTGCTAACAATCAGCAGACTTTGAGCCAAGACGGCCGCTGCTGTTTCCCCGTCTCACTGTGTTAATCTGATGATGTACACAGACGAATAAAGGTTTGAGGTTGGCGGTCAGAACTATGAAACACTCTGTAAAGACCTGTAAACTTTATTTTACTCCACTGGGTTCAGCTGCATTTTGTAGTATATTTACATTTGTGCAGTTCCTCTGTAAAAAGACAAATGTTTGTTGAAAATCTTTCTAATAAACATAGAATTCTGCATTACCACCATGTCAGAGTCCACATGTTTGTGTGTGCTAGTGTGTACCTTATTCTTAGAAAGAATTACATTCATGATAATTTATTTTCTACATGTTCAAGTAAAAAATAAAATGTGCCCCTGCTGTTGCAGCTGTTGAGCTCTGGAGGACAAGTGAGTCTGGAGGGAAGTTTCATTTGTAAGGTCAGCTCATATCAGCAGCATGACTCACACCTGTACACAACATCAGGGGGGACATACAAATGTTGATGCACTTTGTCATTCTATGGGATGGACACCAAAACCTCATGTTTACGATTTATCTTTTGAATTTTTTCTAGTATTTTATTCTGTCAGAGTTGGAACATCATGCAAATTGTAATAAAAGAGAAACATCATACATCACTCTGTGATTTGAGAGATTTCAGCATCCTGGAAGTTTGTGACAAAATCTAACAATTGCTGGATATTTTATTAACTGATTTCAGTATTTTTAGGTTATTATATATGTTAAATGTTGTAAATGTGTCTATTTTATACCAAACAAATATTAATTATAAATGAATCCAGTATTTTCCCACCAAAGGTGAGGAGAAGGTTTTGACAATAGCATTTAGGTTTAAAATTTTACTTAGGTGAAAGTACAAAAGTATTATTAAAATATACTTAAAGTACCAAAATACTCAATCTGCAGAATGGACCATTTATGTTACTGGATTCATAATATTGACGCACTAATGTGTTCATCACTTTATTGTTTAATGTGGAGCTCGTGTTGATTACTTTATATACAGCTTAGTAGTTTGTGAATTTCTTCCCAGAGACCAATATTAGTGCATCATAATGTATTTGTTGGTAATATTTTGTATTATAAATCTGAATCTGCAAAGAAACTGTAACTAAAGATGTGAAAAAAATATAAAGTAGCAGATAATGGAAATACAAGTAACTCAATACTAGTACAGTAATTGAGTAAATGTACTTTCTACCACTGTTGACTTCCTCAGAGCATGATTTTTTAACAACAGATCATTAACACGGAAAACAAGACAGTGGCCTAATTCCACACAGAGGTACAACACCATATCACAACATCATATCATTGTAAAAGTGCACAAAATAATACATTTTTCCGTGACCATCAAGCATTTCTATTATATATATGTTTTAAAAAATGTAAAATCTTTTTTCTTGGGTTTTACCTAGTAATCAGATGTGTAATTAAAATGTTCTTTTATTTCACTTTAATGGGGTCAAATCTAACCTATGCATACTGTTACAAGGGCATATTTACTGTAAAGCTCAACCATTTGGTGGAGGCTCATAAATAAAAACCTGTGGTTGACTGAAAATCATCAATCATTGTGTTTATGCCCAAAGTAAGAAAGAAATGCGTTATATTGATGATGATAAGAGAATTTCCGTTGATTTAGGAGTGGGTGGGGCCATTAAAGGGTTGACTTTTATTTTCATGAATCATTTATGACTAGTAACTAGTAACTACATCAAATAAATGTAGTGGAGTCAAAAGTAGTATTCCTTCAGAAATATGGTGGAAGTGGAAGTTTCAAGTACAAAAAGGAAAATACTAAAGTAAAGAACAAATCACTGTCAGTGCAGAGGGAGATTTCATCCTTCGTAGAGGACAACATTTCAACAACAGGTGGCGGTAATGCACCATAAAGCTGTTTAACGCTGAACAAGAAGAAGAGGGACGTTGGCCGGTGTTGGGTTTTGATATTTCCCACAGCACCTGACGTACACAGCAGCCAGAGTCATCCTGCAGCTGAACTGATCCTCCGAGACCTCAAGCTTCACTTCTCCTCACCGGGTACCTGCCACCATCAGCCGGCCATGGCGCTCCGGAGGTTCTTCGTGGGAGGAAACTGGAAGATGAACGGGGACAAGGAGAGTCTGGGAGAACTGATGACTACGCTCAACACCGCCAGCCTGCACGACCAGACCGGTAACTGAGAGATTAGCGTGTCTGCAGGTTTATATACAGCAGATTAGCTGTCAGCAGGGTTTGCAGAGCAGAGATAAATAAGAGTAATCGATCAGGCCACACAGACAGAGGGAAGATGCCGCTGCTCAAATGACACTGTGACATTGGGGGTCACGTGATCAGGATGAGTCGCATAAAGGCCTCTGACGTGTTTGTGTAACGTCAGTGGTGGACAGTAAGTAAGTACATACACTCAAGTACTGTACTTGACTTTACTTTTAAGGTACTTTTCAATTTACTCCCACCAGTGGTGGAGGGAGTATTCAGATATTTTACTTGAGTAAAAGTAGCAATATCACAGTTTCAGAATCATGTTTGTTATATTATTTATTGAAGTAGTGATACATAAATGTGTACATCATTTTAATGTTGCAGCTGGTAAAGGTGGAACTCATTTATAACTTACTGTATACTGCTGGGTAGCTTTATATCAATATTATTCAGTTATATTTTGTGTTAATAATCTAAATCTGCAAAAGTAACGTAAGCTGTCAAATAATTGTAGTGGAGGAAAAATATAAAGTATCTGGAAAGAAAATACTCTACTTAAGTACAAGTACCTCAAAATTGTTCTTAACAAATTTTCTTGTACTTTCTACTCCACTCCACAGATATATACACAGTGTATCTGGGCTTCTGACCCCAGTGTCTTGGGGCCCCGTCATAGATCAGCTGTCTGTGAGTTCTTCTCAGATGGTTTTAATTAAATCACTTCTACTCCCCAAACTATATAACAAATATTTAAAAGAAGAGAAAAGAAATGACAAAGATCACAGACAAACAGTGCATACTTTTACTTAAGTAAAGGATCTATCCCACTACTGCTTATCCTGACACTTAACATTTCAGTTTTTATATTTTCTTTGTATATACCAGCATCAACGTTGGACTGGAAGGAAAGAAAGAAAGTCTCAGCTCAGACATAGATGGAATTAAAGTCATGATGAGCTTGAAAGCAAACATACACTTTTGGTCTTATTTTCAGAGGTGGTGTGTGCTGCTCCCTCCATCTACCTGGACTTTGCTCGGTCTAACCTGGATCCCAGAATAGGTGTCGCAGCCCAGAACTGCTACAAGGTGGCCAAGGGAGCGTTTACAGGGGAGATCAGGTATCCCACAGTCTCTGAATGAAAACACTCGTGAACTATTTATGATGCATCCTATTTATTTTACTGTATAGGCTGATGCATATTCACATAACTTTATGTAATTTAGGATATCGTAATAGAATTAAATCCTCACATTCACAGAAAAATATGTAAAGACATTAATAATTTTAAACATGTAAAATCCAAATAAGATATGAAAACAAAATTCAGATTAAAGAAGTGTCAGATTTTGTACATCACATGTAATCCTCTGCATCTTTAACATATTTCCTGTCCCTCCAGTCCGGCCATGATAAAGGACTGTGGGGCAGAATGGGTGGTCCTGGGACACTCTGAGCGCCGTCATGTCTTTGGGGAAGGTGACGAGCTGATTGGCCAGAAGGTGAGACACTTTGTCCCGCTGTTTTTTCACTGGCTGACTCGTGTGTTTGGACATTGTTCAGTCTCAAAACACTCATCTAAAAATGTTCAGTAGACGTTAGCTTTGGAAAATGGAACAACAACTATTTGAGTCAATAAAAACAGGAAGTTGCACATGAATATGGAATCTGTGCATCAGAATTATTTGTGTGGTTACAGGGAAAAATTAGCTTCTGGATAGATAGAAGATGCTCCTTTATGTATGTTGACTGTAAATTGTGGTCCATTTTATTCTGATGCCAGCAGCCGCACCTGCAAATGTTCAGCTTCAAACATATTAATCTGAGGTTTGCTCCCTTCAGCTGTTTGCCTTTATAGTCAAGCCGGGCAGTCTGAAGCTAGATAATTCCAAGTCCAATACATTTACTACGTTCATTATTTAGGTGAATTAAAACCTGTCTGTGTGTAACATGTTGCACATATCAGGTAAAGATCTGAGTCTGTGGTTGATCCTCAGGTGGCTCACGCTCTGGAGAGCGATCTGGGTGTGATCGCCTGCATCGGCGAGAAGCTGGAGGAGCGGGAGGCAGGCACCACAGAAGAAGTCGTCTACGCTCAGACGCAGGTCATTGCAGGTAAAGAAAGGAAATAACAAAAAAAGTTTTTACCTTTTTTATTTTTATTATTCTATATAATTTTTCTTTTTTCTCTTGGTACTTTTTCTTTTAAAATTTTCTTATGTGTATGTTCATTATTTTCTTTTCCCTTTTCTTTAACTCTTTTAATTTTTAAATTTATATTACAGTACATAAAAAATATTTCCTTTTTGTATTATTATGTTAGTCTTAGTCGCAGGAGTTACTGTTTTGCTGCTGATGAAGCAAATTCATTGGGGTTTTTTTGTTTGTCGCTTGTTTCACACCAAAATACATCTTTTTTTTTTATTTTACTTCTTTAGTTGAAAATTATCAAGATTAGAGGTCGACCGATATGGTTTTTTTCACGCCGATGCCGATACCGATACCGATCTTTTGAAATCCGGGTCGGCCGATGGCCGATTAATGCTGCCGATTTATTTTGGCCGATATTTGCTTGGTTTTTAACCTCTATTTGCACCGAACTGAAGCACAGAAATCCGCGTTGATATTCGGTGCGGTAGATAACGGTCGTTAAGGTTCCAGTGCCGTATTAGCACCGGGTCTGTCTGTAGCTACCCGTTAGCAAAGCAAAGCCAGTCTGTCACTAGCCTATAGTTGGTCTCTTTTTTATTACTTATTTCTCTGCATTGAGTGACAACCCTCTCAAATATAAGACACACAAACAGAACAAATAAAAGTCTCAGATTCACTCTGTAATTGCAAAATTATTGCTTACTTATTGTGACATGATAGCAACTCTTCTGTGATAATGCAACTTCAACTACTTCCAAATTAGCCGAATGTCATGTGTCTTATTCAGGTTTTTTCTCGAAGTTGGCAGTAATATATCAAAAGTTTTTAATTAAATATAAAGGAGTAATAAGAATTGAATCCTTACCGTTAGCTCCTTAGGC